GGGGGGGGGGGGAGAGGGAGAGAGCGCTGACGCGATGAAATATAACTGGAACGTGTCCGATCGGTTCACCCTGTAAACTGAAATGAACGGAATGTCCGAATTTAACGTCGGATTCAATACGTCCGCTGTCTCGTAAAGCTCGAATCCATTCGGGGGACTGAATGCCTGAATTTTCGAAAAATTTTCGTAACCCGACCTTCCCGCTCGAAATTACGTACCGCGCGTGTATGTACTCCCTTCGTATTTTTAATTCTATTTATTTACACCTGGCGTATATGCCTGGGCGATTCAATTAAATTCGCCCGATCCAAGTCGATATATCTTCTCTCTCTCTCCCTCTCTCTTTCTCTCTTTCCTTTTTATCGTCATTAATTCCACAGTTTAATTCCAATATCGACGAGAGAAAGAGAATTGAGATCAAAGCGCGAGAAGCTCATCGGATTGAGCGTTGTTCGTGTCTGTTCCTCCCTCGCTCTTCTTCCCTCTTTCTCTCCCGACGAAATCAGCGTTATTTAATAATTGAAAATGCGAAATTATTCTCGCGATAAGAGACCTGCGCGCGTATGACGGAAGAGCGGGCGGATGCGATAATGAAATTATAAACTGACGCGACGGATAATTTCGGCGCGATCGGGCAGACATGTTTGCTGGTACTCACCGACGAACAATTTAGGTGTTTGGCGACCTGCATGGCGTAATTGGCGGCGCCTCTTACCAACGCCCAGGGTGAAAGCGCGCTGCCCGACATCAGGACACCTCGGTGGAACAGCAGACCTGCGTGTGCGAGAGAGAAAATGAGAAAGAGAGGGTGGAAGGGGGGTGAGTGAATGAGTGAGCGAACGTGCCGCTGTTAATGCCGTATGCATGCCATATTTTCCGTAAGCATAATTAATTGTTCTCACTAATGATAATAATAATAAATGAGGCGTTGTCCGGGCGTTAAAACATTGTTAATGCACTCTACGAGATGCGTTACGCAGTCATTATTCATTAACCAGCTCGTTTCGAACATTCGATCGTCCCGGTGGCTTTTTCGCGTGCACGAAAAACGCTTTGATCTTCACGTTTTATTTTGTACGTTTCAGTACCCTCGACGTGCTGAAATTATTATTAGATCGCGTGCGAGCGTGTTTGACGAATCAAACGGAAAACGAAATTATCCGATTTCGGGTGTCTGATAATTTCGAGTAACGTCAACAACTCACCTAAAACAATATAATCTTATCTGAAGGTTCCTGACCGGTTATATCGGATTTGTGACGTCAAAAGCGAGGATTGAGAGACACGCTAGCGAAACTTACGTACCATTTCTGAATAAAGATAAATGTGGACGAAAGGGCACTTAAAATTGCTTGATCGCGCTTATAAAATTGTCCGAAAGCTGTCCCTAATGATCAATGAATAGTCGTATAATAAATGATTAAATTGATGAAATGTTTTGTCTCTGTATGCCTCATTTCACCTTTTATTATACGACTATTTATTAATCATCAGAGGGGTATCTTTGGGACAATTTCACAAGTATACTCAAAGATTTCAAGTGCTCTTTCGTCCATATTTATATTCGTATAGAAATGACATGCAACTTTCGTCAGTATGTTGTTCTTGACTTCTGATATCACAAATTCAACATGGCCACGGCGAGATACAAGGAGCCTCAATCATAAAGACGACGTTACGTTACGTAAACTCTAGACACGGGTAATTTTAATAACTCTAGACGGGTAATTTTTATCCAGCGCATTTCATTTGCTCATAACTTCCAGAAAAATTATCGAGTTTAAAATTTTTTTTTATTTAATTCGAGAATAGTAGAAAAATTCGAGGAATGTAGCCCTACTAATGTCTTCGCGATCCAATAGATTGATAGACTTGAAAAAAGTTGCAATGAAAAAATGAAACATATGTTCTCTTGAGTACGGTAACGTTTGAGAAGTTGCTGTGCGTAAATCTTACCCATGTTTAGGGTTCTAGGGTTAAAGCAGAAATATCCTCTGATGTATGGCCCCAAGAGGATTCTTCCAGAAGTAAAAGGAAAATGTTCTAAGCGCAGTATGCCTAAAGTTACGAGGAATTTTGTCTCATTTACAGTACAAGTTTCGTTCTTAACTTCTTCACTATCGCGACGAAGAGAATTTTCGTCATTTAAAATTAAGGTTAATAGAAAAGGTCGATAAAAATTCCCTCTATTGATTTTGAAGAGGGCTTTCCGCTTCAAGTAAACATAGCCCTGTTAATTTTCAAAACATAAAAAGAAGTTAGAATATTTAGTGGATTTCAGATTAATTAACAGTTCACTTCACTAAAAGAGGAATATTCTCTTAGAGTTTTCGCTTAGGACATGGGACTACAGGAAATAGCACCTTGCGAGTTCTTTTTCTGGCTATCAGAATATTTTCTTTTTAGTTTTAAAAGAATCCTCTTGCGGCCGTATGTAAGAGGATTTCCATTAAGAATAAGTCCTTTCGGCTGTTCTTTTCAAACATCTAACGTGTGAGGATTTGCTATTTTCTCCTCGAGAATTTAATAGAAAAATGCCACGCATTTTCCATCAGTGTGCGTTTTGGCATTTTTACGAATTGACTGTTACGCCGTCTGTTACAATGCGCGCGCGATGTTATCGCGTCGCAATCTTTGCATTCCACGCGTCCCTGCCGAGGTGCTCTCCGTGTCATAAAAATCCTATATCTCAGGATATCCATGCGATGCGATTCCGGAATCCGCGCGCGCGGAAACTTCCTCGGTCGCGCTTTTCGAGAGGGCCCGCTTTATCTCGGGATTCGCAAATCATATCACGTAATGCAAAAGTGTTTGTTCGCGAAGGAGAGAGATTATATGTCGCGGCGGTGAATTGAATTTCGAGATGATTTCGATTCGTCTCAGCGAGCGGAACTACGATATTACCTGAGTAAACGAAATACAATCCGAGTTTCAATGCATAGTAACGAATACTCATCCCGGTCACTCGATAGATTTATTTCCAATCAACGACCTCTCCATTACGAACTTATCAGCGATTTCCGCCTTCGGAGATGCGACGAGCTGGCAAGACTCTCTCGCCACGTAAAGAAAGTGTCTAAACAAAAAAAACTTGAACTATCTGAGTATTTAGTGACGTTTCGCGATGTTTGCTGCCCGGAAAAGTCTCGCGAGGAAAATTCACGGAGAAATTACATTTCACGTTAATATAAATTCCAACGATACCTCTCATTAATATTGTCTCTCTGCGCGAATCATTTCTGTCATAGCTATTTCACACGAGCGTGATGTAAATCAAACACAATATAGGAGAAGATGAAGAAGGAGAGCATGAATAATTGAACAAACGCGACCTCTTATTTTGCGCGAGTGTGTCGAGGCGCTTTTCATCTTTCCTTATTTAATTAACACTTCACCTCGTCGAGGAGGGACGCTGCGGAAGAGCATGTATAAAAAAGCGTTTAGGATGATAAAATGTGTTTAATATTGGCTAAAGGTTTCGATTGGCGCTTGTTGGTCATTAATTTTCTTATTACGTGTTGCAAAATTAGACATTACGCGAGAGATGAATAGACAAGAGTGGAGCGGGGCCTGCAGCGCGAGGAAAGTTAAGACGGCGTGGGCGAACACGACGTTACCAGCTTCGTCGTCTATTATTTAATACAGAGAAGACTGGGATAAGTCGTTTAATCCCAATCTTGCGAGTCGTTAATCTTGATACCTCGAAGATGAGATCCCTTCTATGAAAGCTGCCGTCCATTGTATTTCTCTGCACGATGTCAATCGAATATTGTGGAGAAGCTCACTTTCTTGTTCGCGTATCCATATACACAACTTTGTGCAACTGAACAATCGAAAACAGATCGTGCCTCAATAGCTTCTCTAACTCCTATATTATTTCCGAATCGAAATTTAATCCTATTTTTGACCCCTGAACTTTTTAACGTCTCTATATTCCGAAAGATCAGTGTGATATATTTGGAACCAGAAGTTCTACTTACAAGTAAACCTACCCAAAAGGTACACTCTGATTTCTTTCTAATTTGGCACAAATGTAGAAGTATAAAACATATTTAGGTCATATTTTTTTATCTTGGTCCACTTTGAGTTTTACGAGTAATTTATAGCTTTTTAATATTCTCACTTCTATCATCAACAAATGCAACAAAAATACATAAGAAATAAAATTGAATACAAGATATAGATAAAGTTGAATAATTTTAACAAAATCGGTGAGACACGAACTATTTTAAATTTCTTTAGCCGAGATTCTAAAATATTTTAAATTTGCGTTAAATTAGTTAAAAATGGTTCGAATTTCGACCAAGAAATCATTTGTATAAATAATTTTCTTCAACTTTTCACATGTTTCGTTTAAACATTTTATTATTTATACAAATAATTTTACACATTTGACTTCATATTCATAATCAGCAAACCAAAAACGCCTATATCTAAATGTTTAAACAAAACATGTAAAAAGTTGAAAAAAAATTATTTATACAAATAATTTCTCGGTTTAGCCGAGAGTCGCACCATTTTTGACTAATTAAGCACAGATTTGAAATATTTCGGTTGGAATCTTAGTTAAAGAAATTTAGAATGGTTCGTCTCAGATATGCCGATTTTATTAAAATTATTTAACTATATCTTGTATTCAGTTTTATTTCTTACGCATTTTTGTTGCACTTGATGATAGGAGTGAGAACATTAAAAAGCTATAAACTGCCCGTGAAACTTAAAATGGGCAAAAATGAAAAAATATGACCTAAATATTTTTTGTACATCTACATTTGTGCCAAATTTGAATGAAATCGGAGTGTAACTTTTGGGTAGACTTATTTGGTAGTGCCTCTAAATAGCATATGAAATTGTAGTTCTAAACTTGTAAGATCTGAAGAGGATCTTTTAGCAAAGCTGTAGGTTAAATAGAATCAAACGATCTTAGAGTATCGGAGCAGGCACTTAATGGAATATCGAGATCGAAAAAAGAGTCGAAAATTTCACTTGGGAATATTATTATAGGATAAAACGACCAACCGGTGCTGCGTCTTCGACGCACCGTTTTATCGAATATTCATAGTGGGGATTTAAAATAAATAGATAATAAATAATAATTGACAAAAACCCCAATACATTTTAATATTTGATAAAATCCGAGCAAGAGTGCCGAAAACTGGAAAGTGCCGGACGTTTTCCGTTATTCTATTTCTTAGTTTCTATTTTTTATTGTTCTATTATGTTATGTTATTACTATTTTAGACTCTCACACATGTTCATCTCACTACTAAATTGAAGTATGTTTAATTCGCACGTGTATAAACGTGTGCCGGAGGGTCTTTTAGTAGGAATAAGATCCTTGCTGCACTCGGACTCCAGTAGTCGAGCGGGTCCCCTTTCGACAAACTAAAAGCGACAGACAACGTTTACCCACGCGTAATCCCGATTTGGTCGATCGACCATCTCGATATTTCACGATGTATACGTTGCCTTCGGCAGCGATCTTATCAATCCGATACACGTCGATATCCGATTGGATCTCATTCATTTAGCGAAGGAGGAGATGCCGGAGTAAACTCTGAATATCCTGGTAGCGTCCTCGACGTATTTCCGACATTACAGAATCAAGATGGCCCCGTTCTTCCGCCGTCGATATCCGTCGTCGTCGTCGTCGTCGTCGAGAGGACGACACCAAACGATAAGACGGTGTCGAAGCTCGCGACATTAAAGGACTATTAAAGGATTATCGCCGGCTCAAATTCCGTCGCGTTACTCGGATTTAATGGCAGTCCTCTATAATACCCGAGGATTAATTAATTCCTTCGGGGAAGTGGAATCCCGGCAGCCAAGCGTCCGATGGGTTAAGGGCGTGCGACCCGAAGACACGGGGAACCGAGAATTTAAAAGAGCCAAGAACTCGAAAAATCGTGTAACTGAGGAATTCACGGCCCTTAGGATCGAAGCGGTAAAGCCATGTAATCGAGAAATCAACCTTTAAACGAGCCCCGCGTCGCGAGGGAACCCGGGAAATCAACGAATTCGGGATCAAAGGAAACGAGGATTTAAGAAATTGGAAAATAGCCCGAGCAGAGCTCGCGCACTATTCCGAGATATTGCAGCTGGATTGCGTAAAACTGCGAAATTAAAAGGGAACGAGGAATCCCAGGAATCGCAAACGAGAATTTAAACATCCAGGTTAAGAATTATCGAAATCAGAGTCTTTCTTTCAGGAGAGAAGATGAGAATTCCCTTTACAACGAGTCACGATACTCGTTTTCCTCGCGCTATCCGCCTTCATCGCGTTCTTATTTCAATTTTCCTTCTACGAGCGTGCAGATATTAAAAAAAAAAATTATTCTTTATTATTTATCGCCGGCATGGCTAGTTTTTGTGCGAGAAAAGGGGATCAGAGAAGGAACGAAGGATACAAAAAGAAAAGGACGCGATATAATTTCTTGGCCGGATAAACTGCTCGCCATTGTTCTTCGTCGTATTCTTCGATACGTCGCGTGGTCGCCGGCTTTATCGGCGCGAGGGGACAAAAAACAAAGTGTCGCAATCTGTTCCGGGACCGCAGAGCTTATCGCCGGGAGCTTCTCCGGATGATAATTCACTACAGCTGCGAGTTGTCAATGTTGGCCGGGCCAGCTGATTCTCCCGTAATTTATGGCGTCTGGTAAACCACCCCATTATTCCTGGCTCCTCCGTATCATTGTCTCGTGCGGCTTCTCGCTCTTCGACCTCCTCCCGCGTCCGCTCCTTCATCCGCGTCCCGTTTCAGCGTGACGTTATCTGTTTCCACGTCGCAACGCTAAGAGGAACGGTTCCGTGCCTTGCTCCAGGACAATAAACTATTACGCGATCGTCTCTACGAAGATGTCCGCGATCGAAAGACGCTGCAAGATGCACCAATGTCCCCTCCTCCGCGAATATCGATTCGCGAATGTAAAACTAGACGACACAATTCGTTTTTCGTAGAGTCAGCCAGGCAGACAGGCAGGCTCCATTAGACGCTCCATTAGAAGCGTTTTAACTGCATAATGATACCATCACAGCTGTATGTATAAAGAACGCTTCGAAACACGTTAAATGAACTCAAAGCTAACACGTTGAATGCCGCGACGGCCAATGACATGACACTATTTCGTCCTATTAAATTACGTATAAAGTAGAATTAATTGCGTCTAAAATTGTTTGGTCTAATATTGTTTGGTCGGTCAGTAAAAAGGAGGAAAAAATACATGCGTTTTAAACGACATTTTTTCACTGTGATTTTACATTGAGAGGAAAAATATTTATATAAAGTAATAAATATATTTATTGAGTGGATACTAATAACATATTTACTATTAAATCAGAATTATTTTATTTAAATAGAATAGACAGAAGTGTTTTCATGAAAAACTAAGATTTTCTTAAAGTTTTTTAAGAATACATATATCTTATTTTTTTTTTCAAAAAATATATGTTATATGAGAGTGTCAGTAAATATTTTATTACTACCCGCAGACTTAATATATTACTATCCGCCGACTAAATATATTTTATTTCTTAAATATTTTTTTTCTCAATATAGAATCCTAAACATGGATAAATTTAATATATCTGCTTTCACTTGTAGCTCCTGCAAAAATAATTGAAAAAAAAATTTTTTTAATCAGGATTAATAATCTTCGAGGAATATGATTTCATTAATATTTTTGCGACTCAAAGTTGCGAAAAGTTATAATAAAAAATAAAACATATATTTACAACAGTAACGTTTGAAAAGTTGGTCTGGGTAAATTTTATACATGTCTAGTGTTCTGTTAGGGTTAACCTTCCGTGTGTACAATGTTAAGTCTGTGAGATCTGAAAGAAAGTTTGATCGCTTACTTACTTTTGTAGAAAGGAAAAATTGAAAAATAACGCAAATCTATTTGCAGATTTGAGCTTTATCGCGCTATTATCTTACATCTAAGGCTTCCCTATATATCTGGAAAAAATGTGTTCAAAATGCTGATTTGCAACAAAATTATAATAGTTCAAAGTTGCCCGGATTTAACGAATTAGGGTTATATTGTATGTGTCCCAATCAATATGATTGGAGGGCTAATATTTCCATCATCGACTACGCTTTTGTATCAATCAATGGAAATCAATGTGGCGGTCAACGTGTTAAACGACCGCAAGGAACAATATTGAGTCAATCATAAAGCGCAGTTTGATGCTTCAGTCGAATTTCGCTTTATCGCATTCAATGGATTCAATAGATTATTCGTATTTGTTCAGTACAAAGTGGCCGGTTTACCGTGAAAACTCGAAGCGAGTTTTTTTACGATCTAATATTACGAGGGAAGAAAAATGAAGTCTCGCACGTGAAGGAAGTGTGTACATTGTCCTCGACAATAATTTCGTATGATTTACGACGGAGTCGATGTGAAGAGAAAATGAGCGAATTTGTCTCTCGCTCGGTCAGGTGCAAAGTCAATAGTGTGTCGTGGAAGCGTGAGCCGCAGGTGCGCGCCCTTACCGTCAGGGACCGCGTGGCTGGTCATCAGGAAGTTCACGCAGGCGGCGCCGGTGCCGTGTCCCACAAGCGTGACGTTTCCAGGATCGCCCCCAAAATAGGCGATGTTCTCTTGCACCCAATGTAACGCCGCGATCTGGTCCATCAGGCCGTAATTCGCCGGTGAGCGTAAGTGCGAGTCTGTGTTGGCGTTTAGAAAGCCTGCAATCAAAACAAGCCGCTGCTTATGGTCGGTCGGTCGGTCGGTGTGAGGCTCTCCGCGCTCGGTGTCCATTATCGTTGGTTACGGCTGGTATAACATCGCCCCGATCGCGCCCAGAATTACCACCGACGGGGTTAATTCCGATGGCCGTGTGTCGCGAACTATCGAGCGACAGGCGAGATAAATAGCGGGATACAACGAGACGGAAGTAGGAATGTCTCGGTGGAGGAAAGGGGAACATCGAGTAGTCGCGAATATAAGTGGCTGGGAGATACGGTTTGCAATTGTACCCAGCTAGGAATTTATCCCGTGTTCTTGGTCAGCTTGATCTCAATCAAGTTATCTGGTTTATTTAAGATGACGCTATCGAGTTCTAATTATTGCATTCGTTGAGACTGTGAAACCCGAACGAATGGTCAATCGCTCACCAATTTCTGTTTGAATAGACATTTCAAAATAGTGCTTGCAAATTTTATCACACCATTATCTTAGATGAATCTTTTTTATTATTTGTTTCTGGGAAAAAGCGTGTTCAAAAGTATCGATTTTCAATAAAAAAGTTATAGCAGTTCAAAGTTGGCCGGTCTAAGACCCCCAGATTGTACTGCATGTCTTAAAAAATATAATTGTACGCACACTGAAAGAAATTATCTATAAAAATTAACAAACTGATAGTTCTGAATAAATTTTGATCAGGATATCCGATTAAATTTAATTGGATACTTCCAATCTTAATGGCGTTTCATCAGGTAAAGCGATCAAAAAATTATGAACCGATATTTCTTATCGGATATTTCCTGATCGGATACAAAAATACATCGGTATTTTGATCGGAAATATCCGTTTGTTAATTTTTTGTCAGATAATTTCTCTCAGTGCAAAGAGTTAATAATCCTTGTTATTGATAACTCGAGTCAAAGTTCAGAATCTAATATAAGACTGTTAGACGAATCGAAATTTTGGTCTCGCTTTGATTGTTTTTATCGCGTTAGTTTTTTTAGACGCTTTCCGCTCTACGACATTTTTCTCAAGCTATTATATTTCTTATTATATTCTCATTAAGAAGTAATAACGTTCAACGTGTTTGGTTACAGAAAAAAAGTGTGCGACGCGCGAGAGCACCGACACAATTGGCAAGAAATGTAAACACATTCTCTTTCATCACCAACGGTCGTCGCTCGTCAACAAGCGGCAGTTGATCTCACAGTCGAAACATCCGGAACCTTCGAGGCAAATTTACCCTTGTGCCTCGCGGACATTACCGGATCTTTCCATTCAGTTCCGAGTCGGCGAGCGACGCGCAAACATTGGCCGCGCGCGTCGGCGCGTTATCCAGTGTTTCTCTCGGGTGATTAAACTATTTCGTTGGTACTTTGAAACACTTAATTAGCCTCTCGTCGGCATCGCGTTATTTAATACTATTATTTAATTGACTTCGATTGAATCGTATCTACGCGAGTGTCAGTGTCAGTGCCATGACGGAGCAGCCAGGATGCCGGGTCGAGAAGGAGGTCTGAGCGGGACGGAGGATGCAAGGCGCTGGAACGACGACATATCACGTATTTTCAAGGTATGCCAAATCATTTATTATATTAGTTTTCATTTTTAACGAAACGCTTGATGAACTTGCCGCGAGTAAAGAAACACCCGAGTCGAAATTTAGCTGGCATTCATAGTTTAGCATTTCGACATATAATTGTAGCTTCATTCATTGATCTCCGATTAATCAGCAACCAATTTTACTACACTATTCCACACAAAAAGCATTGATCCGAACAGCCGAATAACGGTCCAATATACGAATCTGTAATTAATTATGTTCTCGACTAAATATACTAAATAGTTTACAACACTATGAATACCGGCTTTAGTATATAATATAAATGTTGCAATTGCTGATTTTCATGTCTAATAATGCTTTTGTGATCGCAATTCCGATTTCGTTGACATAAGTCAACGCCTTTTTTCGCTTTTATTTATATTCTTTGTTATTGTATCGGACTTAAAGTTGAAATGTATATTATTGATAAACAGCATTATTGGACATATAACTGTTATTTTTATCTTTTCAGCTTCATATCGGCTCTTTTAAGAGCCGATATATCTCATTCTCTTCAAACTTCTATAAAAAAAGAAAAAAAAAAAGAGGAGAAAAGAGGAGAAAAGGAGAAAAAAAAAGAGAAAAATTAGGAAGAGAATGAGATTGTCTTGTTCTTTTACCCACTCATCAACACATTAAACCTTATTAAATAATTTAACACCTGCTTATCGATATAAATTTATATTAAACCTTATCAAATAATTTAACATTTGCTTATCGATATAAATTTTGTTCATATACATATAACCACACTTCGCTAAAACAATTGCCAATCGTGCGCATATATTTTTTAATTAATATATTAACGTACGGTAGAGCTGGCGAACGGTTTTTATACATCGAATGCACTCACATACGCGCATCGGAGCAGTCGGCTAGTCGCTTTAAGGTAAGTGGCATAAGTAGGTAATATATAGACATAAGTAGGTAGGTATATAAGGTAAGTAATACAGCGACACTCTTCGTTCGAATATAGCTACACTTCGCTCATTTCCAATCGCATACATTTGCCAATCAACTTGCTAATTATTTGATAATTATTTAGTGTAAAATAACGTTACATTTTGTCCACGGGACATCGAGCAATTATCGAGTAACAGCTGATTGTGACAGTTTATTGTCAGTCCGTAGAAAAACATCTTTTTCAAGAAATAACGGGCGTGTTATTTAAGACTATCCCGACGGGCAGAGCGATTATCGCGAATGGCAGTGCTGCGAGTGTGCTTGGTTTTGTGCATTCGATGCATTCGTGCGCTCAACTTTCCCGACATTTTCTTCGCGAAGGCTTTGCGTTCCGCGCGTTTCTACAATTTGTTATTTCGTCAAAAATATCGAGGTAAACATCGGATTTCGAATTTTCATCGCGACTATTTCGAGTGACACGTGATTCAAAAATTAAATTCTACACGGAGAGAGAAAGAAGATTGTAATTTATTTTTTCGTATTCTTTTTAATTTTACTAGCATTTTTTTTCTTGTTACTACAGAATTTTTACTATGGAATTTTTTTGTAATGTATGGGGAATAAAGTGTCAATAGAGTTCGTTTTGCTAAAACATAAGACATGATAAATTTTGCTAGAAACATAGCAAATCTTGTTAATAGCGTATTTTAATTCCTACGTTGAGAAAAATTATTCAATAAGAAATTAAGAAACGGATATTTCCGATCAAAATACTGATAAATTTTTATCATACAAAATTTTTTGTATCAGAAAATATCCGATGAGAAATATCGGTCCATAATTTTTTGATCGGTTTATCTAGTAAAATGCTATTATGATTGGAAGCATTCGATTAAATTTAATTGGATATCCTGATCGAATATGACAATTCATCGGTATTTTGATTGGAAATATACGTTTATTAATTTTTTTATTTGATGAAAGGATAATCATATTAACAATGAAGAATGTGGATCTATTTCTCGTTTACAAAATCTTACAACAATTTTTACTATAAAATTCTCTCTCTCCGCCGGTATTAAAATATATTATATAAATAAATAAAATACACTCAAACGCGTTAAATAATTCTCGAACGAGTACTTCTTCGAACATCTTTAACGTCTTCGAGCTTCTTCAATATGCAGAAAACGACAATGGAGCAGCATCAAGGTAGGTCAATAACCTGTATAGTGTTATATTAGAAGCTTCCAAAACTTGTCGAATCTTTAGTCATATTATTTTTTTATTATTATTTTTATTAATGTGATAAAATAGCGCACACCATATTCAATCAAAATCACTATCTTCAATCTACTACTACCTTCTGCCATTTTTCAAATAATTGTTTGCTTCCGTGTCTGTGAAGTGTCTCGAGCCAATGAAATATCATTGACGATCCGACAAACTTTTGCAAGCTTTTGATATTTCGAGATTCTCCATTGGTCCTTCAGATTCGACGAAATTTGCAGGGTCAATGTAGAATCAAAATTTCGACTCGGGTAAACGTTCTCAGTAAGTCTTTTCCATATGAAACAAACAGTGACTTACGATTTGTAGCATCAAAACATGTACAATAGTTTATATAAACGCACTATTTCGAATTCTTTATTGATTTATAAGTTTGACAATATCAGGGAATGATTATGGGGATGCTAAAGTGGATGAGGAACTCCGCAAATATCGATAATGTCACACAATCAAATGTATATTGCTTTGTTTTATTATATTCGGTGCAAAACCTAACCACACAATTGTAAAAATCTTTCTGTAAACTTTTTCGATATTTTTCTGAATACGAAGGTATAGTAATGTCTTCAAAATTTTTTTGTTTGGAGCATCCACATTTTTGGTTACACATACAAGTTACGGAAATTAGGAAATTAGGAATATTACGCTAATTGACAGTGTTTAAGATTTTATATTAAAATTTTTTTCTTGTTTTTACCACATATATTAAGCAATGCTCCTATTTATTTTTGCACGTACTTTTATTGCATCTGTAGCTGTTTAAAAGCTTCTGTAGTTCTATACAACCAATGCGATGTAAACTTTGCAGAAAAACGTCAATATTCGGTAAAATTTTCAGCATCCCCTTAACATAGAATCTAGATTTCATCTCGGGATATCTCGAGATTTTTTACTGGCTTACAAATTCGACGATATTGTAGGCTTAAGTTCTAAATTTTGATCCGAGAAGGTCTTGATTGTCATACTGCATTACCTGATTTATCAAGCCTCGATAATATTCTCTCTTAAAATAAATCAGTAAAAAGAATATTTTATCAATAATAAGTGAGTATTCATTGATTTTTATTTTATTTTGTTCTTTGATTATGACTAATACAAATGAAATGTGGTTAGAAAGTCTGCAGTATTCGATTAAATTTAATTTGATATCCTGACCGAGTATAAAAATTTATCAGTATTTTGATTGGAAATATCCGTTTGTTAATT